CAAAACAAGCAAATGATAAATAGTTTCAAGAAAAATAAAAACAACTACTAAACCAGCTATCCAAGCATCAACCAGACCCCCATCGATCATAGGGTCCAACAAGCTCTAATCAAGAGTAGAATTCGTTGTTGTTGCATCAACACAACCGACAATAGCCACCAAGAACGAACCAATCAACGACGACAAAGCAATAACACCAACTCCCTCCTCAATAGTCCAAGAGTTAGCCTCTTCACAAGCAAAGTCATACAAACTGAAAATCATCACCACACCCATTATACTGGCAATAACAACACCGATAATATTCTAATGTAAAGCCATAATACCGACAACCACCTCAATAAGCCAATAACCGGCCTCACGGTTTAAAATTGCGCAATATGAGGCTCGCCATGAGGCCCGCCTTTGCGCAATTCCAGTAAAAAACGCCTCGAGTTTTTTTTATGAGGCTTGCTCCTCAACTTGGTTAAGCCCCCCCTTGAGGCCCGCCTCGCCTCACTGGCATGAGGCTTACGCGTCACGCTATGTATATTAAAACTTTACATAAATCTTGAAGTAAATACCTGACATTGGACTCTATAGGAGAGGAGGAAGGGGAGAGAGCAGTTCACCATAATGATGATTCAAATGAAGAACCCCTTAGTGATGACAATGCTGATGACTTATGAGTTCTTATGTGATATGTCATTGCTATTTATTTTTGGAAATTGGAATTATATGTTAATGAAAAGAATATTGGGATTTGGGAAAGATAGAATTTTGAGTTGAACTATATTTCATGTTGTCTTATTATTGAGATATTTTTATTTTACTTCATATCTTATGCTTTTTTATGTTTTATATTATTCATTCATCAGTATATAAAATTTTTATCATTTTATGTTTACGCAATCTTTTGATTTTGAGGCTTACGCCTCAAAACGCCTTGAGGCTTACGCCTCACCTCACGAATGAAATATGCCTCAATACTCGAATATGCAATTTTAAACATTGACCGGCCTCATCATTGCCAAAGCCAACCAAACTGATAATCATCACCACTCTCATCACATTGACAAGAGAAAAATCAAAAAACTTCAAATCCTTCAAGTCTTTAACCAATAAGACTTGATCTTCAAAGACCAACTGAAAAAAAAGTGACCAAACAACCACCTCGTCATTACAAACATCAACCAACAACCTCCTCAACATAGTCGATCAATGGGCAGACCCTTTAGACAATCCAAACAATGTTGACGAAGCAATCACAACAGCTCTAACATCAATAGGCCGAGAGACGACGTCAAATAAAACTTGATTCTCATTGATCAAAGAGGTAACATCGGCATTACCAAAAACCTCTTCCAAATAGCTGCATATCCACCACCAAACAAACTAGAATTGTGTATGTCCACAACCAGAAGAACGAAACAGCCTTCTATATTCAAACCAAACACCATTAGATCAATCACTTCAATAATATCAGCAACCTCAGACCATAATTCCAAAATATCTTCCTTGGAAGATCCAAAAAAAGCCATCCAAATGGCAGCAAAACTAGGAGTAGAAATATCATCTCCAAGAATCTTCAAGAAACAAGAACCCAGTTCTTCATAATAGAGAGATCCAACTCTACAATCCAAACAACCATACACCAACAAATTCTTGAACAACAAGATATCACACACCAAGAACTCTATCAAACCAGACTGGAATCAAGAAAAAACTAGAGCAAATCCCGAACGCAAAAATTACTGTAGGTATCGTCGAACCAAAATGTAAACTTATTCAAAATCACCTTCAGACTTGAAGTTTCACCAAAAACAATCAATAATAACTCCAATATACCACCAGTTGAAACACAACAATCGCAATCAATTTTCAAACCAAGCCGACTGAGTTCCATCGGCAGACAATCCTCCGCCAAAATGTCTTCAAACAAAAGTAAATCCGATACAAAATCAACAGAAAATCCAAACCAAGAAAAGTCGTGAGTCAAACCAGACCAATTGAGCACCTCTATCAACCAAAGATTCATCAAAACCTCTTTGAGATTTGATGTTTTACCAAAACCTCCATTAGCCAAATGAAATATTGACATAGAAGAAGATCCCCACCAAGGAACTCCATCAGCCTTACCGAGCCGATGAATCATCTTCGATTGCCAAAGATCCGTGAAAATCGCCCGCTCTGCTTCCGATCGCCAAAGACCCGCTTCCAGATCACTTGGTTGTTGAAGAGTCCATGGAACTCCGTCAACCATACCAGGCCGACGGAGCATCTCCGATCGACAAAGAATGCCCAAAATCGCGCTCTCCGCTTTAACTGGTTTAGTCATAGAATCAATTTTCTTAGGGTTAGCTTGTACGCTACCGGAAGATACAGTGTGACCAAGGTATTCAATGGATGTTTGACAAAATTGACATTTATTTAATTTAAAAAATAGTTTGTTTGTCAATAAACATTAAAAAGTGAAAAAAAGATGATCATAATGAAGTTCAAGAGGACTATATATATGAAAAAATCATACAAAAATGATAATAAAAAACAAACATGCGGAGATAAAAATGAAAAACTTGATTCATTAAAGATTGAAAAGTAGACGGGGCATTTGTTAAGCCAAAAGGCATAACGAGCAATTCAAGATGGCTATTGTGGGTATGAAAGATAGATTTATGAATATATTTTGGGCGCATTTGAACTTGATGATAGTTGGAACAGAGATCAAGTTAAGAAAAAAGAAGGTAAAATGTAATTCATCTAAAAGTTCATCTACCATTGAAATAGGAAATTTATTTGTAATAGTTAGAGCATTAAGGGCTTGATAATCAATACAAAAATGCCATGTTCTATCATATACAAAAATGCCATGTTCTATCATATTTTTTGAAATGAAGTACAGGGCTAGAAAAAGGACTAACTATGATGAATAATTTCAAATTGTAACATTTACAAAACAAATTGTTCCATTGCATCTTTTAAAAATGAGGATAACTATAAGAGCAGATGTTAGCTAGTTTTGATAATGATGAAAGATGATTACGATAATCAATGGTGAATGGCGGTGGAAAGCCTTGTGGTGGTTGAAATAAATGTTGAAATTATCTTAATAGTGTGGTTGTAGGTAGGGGGTTTATAATGGTGGCAACGTATTCGTTTAAGAGATTTTCAGGTGGTGGAAGATCCATATCAAGGGTTGTGATTGAATAGTGAAGATTTTTACGGAGGGAAAATGAGATATCAATGCACGCAACTGATTAAAAGAGATAGGATCAGCTGATAATTGAGGCTTGCCAGAAAGTATAAGATAGTGACATTGGCTCCATGGAGGAAAGTACAAATAAACCTAAAAGAACCTGGTAGCCTAGCATGGTAATGGTGACCTGAGAACATTTGGGATTACAGAATAATAAGTTTCCATTGCCAACTGAAATCTTGAATTTTTTGTAGGCTGTGGATGAAGGCCAAGTTGTTGAATAAGATTATCTTGAATAAAATCATTAGTACTATCAATCAAAATATGAACATTTTGATGGTTAATTGAGCCATGAAAAGAACAGGAATTAAATTGGCCAGCTAAAGCATTTAAGATAATTTCTAGAGAAAGATCTTGATCATCATCATTGTTGGTAGAAAAGAAACGATCATCAATGAAATCATGGCCATCCATGCCAAGCAACAGATAGAATTTATTAGGGCAGTGATGTTGTGGACCAAAATTTTCTTCACAATTAAAACAATGACCATTTTCCCGTCTATATTGAATTTCAACTGCAGTGAGTTTGCGAATTGGGAGGGTTGGATGTTTATGGTCATTAATGGTTCGTGGTAAAAATGAGGTGGATGGTTGGTTGAAGGGTGGTGAAGAGTAGGAGTTGGGTTCGAGCGCGAGTGTTAGCACTAGCGCTCCAACACGCTAATGCTCTAACTCGGGATCAGGCACGGGCTCAAGTGCAGGAGGTTTAGGATCACTTGTTATTATTGTTTCTGTTTTTTAGTATTTTTTTAATTTTATGTTTTGATATGAAATAAAAATGTGCAGCATTTTATAGATAAATTACTTTTATTTTAAGAGAACTAAGCACTTGCATTACAATGTCTAAGAACAACTACCTCATCTAAACAACTCCCTTATCATAAACAACTCCTTTAATGCCACAACGACATCCACCAATTCGATTGCTTCAATGAAAACAAATTTTGCCCAGCTCTCTGTCAAGCGAATTAATATGATCGTGGCACAGGACGGATGAGAGATTGAGGACTGGACGGATGCGAGAAGTCAAGGGATATGGACATTGGATGGAAGCTTAAAGATTGAAGGGTTGTCAAACGTCAGATGCGCGCTCAGGGATAGCTCGTAAGGAGAGTGTAGAGGGGCTAGAGCTTAACGATACGGATGAGGAGGTGATCACAAGGAGGGTTCTAAGATATGACAGATGTTAATTTGGAGCTTGGGGATCAAAGAAATGCCAAGCAGAAGCTCAAGGAGGATGTGGAGGAATTAGAGCTCAGTGAAAGAGTCAACTGGGAAGAAAAAAAAATTTGAAGAAACTTAAAATTTATTTTGATTGTTTCTAAAAGCAACTTGATCAGTTTTTTAAAATAAAAATAAAAACAACTGCAAACCATGTTTATTCTTTCATTCCCTTGTTTTTAAAACACAGAAACAAAAACAAAAAAAGGATGTCAAACAAATCTAAATATTCATCAAATTCTAATCTTGATTGCTTGATTTCTTGCACAAAATCCAAGGCTTTCAACAAATCAAAAAGTCCACAAAATTCTTAAGCATTCAAATTACAATATTGCATCTGTTTGAAAGATGAAATATCAAACTTTGTTAAATGAGTTATGGTATTTAGGCTACAACAATAATTTCCATGAAGCAATCCAAGTAAATAGATTTTTAATGCAAATTTCAAACAAACAAAAATCTTCATACGTCAAATGAAAATGTCAGCAACAGTAGTTACAAGAGGTTTTGAACAAAATATGATCTCAAAGGCTTAATATTTGATCAGGAAGCTCAGTTGAGAACTCACTCAGCCAGTGCAGGGGGGTCCCAAGAAGATGGAACATCATGTTTCACTTGTTCAAGCAACATTAAGTTTGATCTTTCCAGTTCGATACTGTAGAGAGTTATAAACCAACCATCAAAACAGAGATTTTTTGTTGTTGATGCATCCTTTTTCCAGCAGCCACGATAATCAAACATGGCATTGAACAAGCCAGAAGGAATTTTACCAGACAAAGACATCTCCTGGTTGAACTGCTCTGACATCTACTAGCAAAAGAATAATTAAAATGTTAATCAGAAAAGATTTCATTTAGTTTATTTTGGGAAGAAATATTAGATACAAGGAATATAATAGAAATATTGATGGAGCAGTAAGCTGTCCAAAATGACAACAATCAACTTAGTCTACGCTGTGCAGAAATCTGATAGGAAGTGTATGCAATTTCAGCAAAATCAGAGAACGACACAAGAAATTTAGAAAGAAGAACACACAAACTTTTTTTTATTGAAAAAAACTAAGAAGAAAAACACAAGATATAGTTGGATCTTCAATTGGAGAGGAAGATCCGTCTCTCCCAAATCCCTAGCCGTCAGCTAGAGCCCACTAAACCTAAGCAAAACTAATTCCAGTAAAATCAAGCATAAAAACTGAACCCTAGGGTAAACAACTTATTTCAAGCACATAAAACATAACAAATCTCAAAACAGCCCTCCCCTAATTCCCTCCTAAATCAGCCCCAAATTTGCCCTCTTTAATTAGGAAACATCTACTAATTAATGTCCTCCAATTCAGCGCCCAAATCAGCCCTCTTCAATTAATAAATATCTCATAATTAATCTCCTCCAAATCAGCCCCCAAATCTGCCCTTTTTAATTAGGAAACATCTCCTAATTAATATCCTCCAAATCAGCCCCCAAATTAGTCCCTTTAAATTAGAAAACATCTCCTAGTTAATCTCCTCCAAATCAACCCCCTTTCCTAATAAATTCCCCTCTCCTATTTGAATTCAAATAGGAGATCTTTTCTCAATTAATTCCCTCCTTAATTTCCCTCCTATCATAATAAATTATAGCTTTGCTGACCCCCACAAGGGGGGCCGAAATATTCATGAATTTTGATCCAGGTTCCGCCCCCTCCACTACCTGTTGAGATGGCTTGTCCAACCTCCCTTGGCCTGCAGCCGTAATAAATCCTAAGCATTTTAAAAAAATATTGGCTTTGCTTAGCTAAGTGAAAATGCTTTGCAATGCAAACAGATTCCTCAACAGTAAATGGAGTCAAATTGGTTGAATTTACTACGCAGAGGGAAAAAATTAAGGCTGTACTTAGAATTTGGGTGGTTATAAAGTAAACGTGCAACTTTACAGTGAATCACATACCAAAATAGTATTACAAGCATTTCATTTAGTTCGGATCTATTTTGTAGCCAACACAGCAAGCCTAAATAAAATATTAAAATCAGAAAAATACACCTTATTTAAATCTAGTAAGAGTAAGATTTAACTAGATGTAGCTATTTTTTTCTTTTTTTTTTTGCAACAGGCTAATTGGCACTAGCTAATATGCTTAAAAATTCAAAAAATGATCAATAATCATTCAAAGAAAAATAAACTACTTGCAACAACCCTACAGTGTGTGACAAAAATGGAAAGGGAAAACGCAAACAACAACTTCAGCAGGAAAGAGTTTTTCCTGCCAGTCAACTTTTCAACTTCCAGTTATTCCCACACGGTGCCCAACAATTTAAACTAATTAAATCTACCAATCCATTTTAAAAAGGGCTCCATATTTGATGGAGTGGCCGTGGAACTTAGCGGTAGGATGGCTTGCTTTTGCCTCTAAAGATATTAGAGGGTAGCGGGCACACTATGGCTAGGGTTAGGTTTGGACGGGTTTCTTGTGGTAGCCGAGAGGTGATATTGGAGAGGGAATTATTTGAGAACTAGGTTCATGCATAGAGCCTGTGTATGATATGGTATTGGCTTTGCCAAGGGGTTGCGATTTTGATTTGGGACTTTAGTAATGTGAATAGGACTTCTACAAGTTCTGTGGCGGTAAAAAAGAGGAATTAAACTTTGTTGTGGAGATAAAAATCAGGAGGATTTAGGATTTTTTTGGGTTTTTGAGAAGAGGAGAGAGATATAGAAGTAAGATAGAAAGAAGAAAACCTCAGCAAAAGATTCCTTGAAGTGTTAGGCCACTATGCTTTACACTGAGCAAGAAATTGAATGCTTTTAACAACCAAACCAGATTTCCTTCATTAAAACAAAAAAGGTTTATTTCTATATTACATGTGATTATATCAAGCTCAATATTTTAAAATCAAAAGGAGAGAGCTAGTGGTCAGCCATGCTTGGACTTTCGGATTAGTGTGTTTCACCCTTGTTGTTTCAAGTGAATTTGAATTTGTTTTGTTGGAGAAGCATCTCATGAATGGTGCAACCAACTTGAATTCAAACTTGAATAAGCCAGTCACACCCACAAACCTTATCACCACCACCCTCACGCACATTATTCTCAAGTATCAATGAGTGGGAAAAGTTTTATGCTACAGGACAATTTTGGACTTTGGCTTTATGTTGTGTTAACAACTTGGAGGTCATGCAGTGATTTTTAGTCTTGATAAGTGGCATGCCAAAATCTAGGTCTTTATGCAAAGATAAATGTGCCAAAATAAAGAATTTAAAAAGCATAAGAGAAGCAGATATTACCCACAGTGGAATTCAAATCATCAATTGCTGAATCCTTGATCAGTGTTACCCTACATGTTGACTTTTTCTTGAATCTTTAAGCTCTAATAAAAACTCAGTGAAGCGGTGGTGAGAGTTTATAGTAGAATGGCTCTTGCTTCTAAAGATATGTGAAGGTTGTGGGTACATTTTAGAAGAAGTTATCACATGATTAGGGTTAGATTTGGACGGATTTCTTGTGGTGGCCGAGACACGACCTTGGGGAGGGAATTATTTGTGGATTTAGGGTTAAGCATAGGGTCAAATATGCTATGGGATGGACAAGGCCGAAAGGTGGAATGTTGATTTAGGGACTGGTAATGAGAAGAAGATTATTGAAAGCTTGTGGAAGTATTGAAGCGGTATTAGGTTTGTTATGGAGATGAAACCGAGAGCAAGAAAGTTTGGGTTTAGGATTATTGGAAGAGGCGGAACGATAAGGAGTCGGCCATGCTTGAACTTTTGGATGAATTTGTTTCCACCTTGTTTTATGCGGACTTGAGCTTGTTTTGTTGGGGAAGCCTTATCCATACATTGAATAATGCAACCAACTTGAATTGCACCTCGAATGGCCCAACCACACCAAAATTGAATGAAGATGGATCCACCAACCGTATCTAAACCATTTTCCCATCTAAATTCTAACCAAATTCCCACTAACTTTTGAAATTTAAAAATTGCATTCACATTTCAATAATAAAATTATCGTGCAAGCTGTTGGCACTTAGTTTGAGAAGCACTTGATCTTGTGCATCAATATTTATAGAAAGACCTTGTAATCGTGTAAGACACACTAATGAAGAAATTTAATACAAAGATAAGCCAAAAAAAGGACTCAATTTGCAACCTCAGAGAGCTTCCGAAGGTTTAAAAGATAATAACAAAAAAATTACTAAGCACTAGCTTAACAGTTAAATAATGTATCTGCAACATATTCCTTCAAAAGTATCATCGAATCCATAATTCTGCCGAGTTCTAATTAGTAGATCCATTTAACTACAAAGTGAGAATCATCCTTAAAACAAAACAACCCCCTCTTTCACTTAATAAAACCCTAACCAAAAAAAAAAAGAGAGATCTCAAGACAAAAAAAAACCTGGTGAAAAGAAAGAACTTCGGAATGAAACCTAGTCCTTTCCCCTTTATCGCAGCGGATAGACTTCGGAACGCAGGGCATCACGATGCCACCAGGCAACACCATGTCTTCTACGGCGGCCCCATCGATCTCAATCAAGCGCCCCGCCTTGCAGCGGGTGAGCCGCACGTCGGCGGCGAAGTCAAAGCCGCACCCAATCGCCGCCACCGCCCTTTGAGCCGCCTCCAACGCCGCCGGCGCCCTGCTCCCTTCTTCCAGGACCATCGCTTCCAATTTAGAGTTTGTAGCTTGGGAACGAGAGCTAATAGAGTAAGTAAACTAGAGAAGAAATAGGATTCAGATTATGTAGACGTTGGAGCATCACCGTTCGCCTGTATACGTGGTCTTAATTTTAATATATTATATTCATAAAAATTTTAAACAATATATATTAATATTTTAGTCTAAGGAATTTCAAATAGATAAAAAATGAACTAGATGGTGAATTATAAATGCATTAAGTTTTTACATGATATTTGTTTTACTTCAAGCCAAGTACCAATATTCTTTTTTTTTTCAAAACAAAAATTATATTAAACCCAAAAGGACGATTACAAGATCCTGTAAGCTAAATACTAATATTCTTAAAACTCATGTATTTGGAATTCTTTATGCAACTTTTACTTCAAACTAAATAGCTCCTAAATAAAATAAAATGCCTAGTAAATCAATACAATATAATTTAAATATTTGAAATTATTTGGATAAATATAAAATAAATGCAAATTATTATTTTTTTTACTAGAAGTAAAATAAATACAGTATTAAGTTTAAAGATAATGGTAGTTGTGGTCGATTGAAAGTTAGAGAGAGAGGGAGGGGGGCTGGGGGTGGCCGGCGAAGATCGTTGGCAATGCAAGGGCGGGTATTGGTGGCATGGGCGGATCCCTCATGTACTCAGGGTGGGCAAATGTCCACACTCAAAAAATTATTAAATATTTAGAAAGAATATTTTAAAATATTTTATATTTGTTTTGCTTTTGAACCAAACAGACCGTTGAGTGAGACCCAGTAATGAGCAATGTGCAAAATAGGTCGCAAACGACAACTGGAGTAACAGAGAAGCAAATTCACGTTAGTGCCAAAACCAAAGCTCTCGTTGAGAAGAAGTCATTTCTGCCTATATTGTATTCACATCGGGCCAAAGTAATTCCAATTTACACAAACGACCCACATGCATTAAACGAGCATTGCAATACTTCATCAGGTATGATAGATACATTTATTTAACTAGCATATAACTAATTTATGATGAAAATTTATTTGTGAATATTCTGATTTAAAATGTATCATGATGTACCCTAAGACTTTGAAATTTATAATTGATATATCATCCAAAAATTATCTTGATAAGGCATGAATCTCGAGGCATTTTTCACTTGAAAGCTTCTGAAATTAAATTCAGGACCATTCGAATTCTGATTTAAACAAACTTATAGTTGAATTGAACGTCTCAAAAAGACGAACCCAACAACACCAAATTCGGCCCAATTCGAGCCCAAATCGGTCCAAATCGAAGACACCATCACATTTGGAAGGTCCAAATTAACCATAAATTGAACGACCAAATGATTTCCAAATGTAGCATGCTTATAGTTGAATCAAGCGGCCGGCTCGGCAAGAAAAATCCAATGAGCCCAAGATCATCAAATTATGATATCATTAAGACTCTCAAATACTCTATAAACAATATACAATCAAGGGGAGTCAAATATTGTCTGTCTATTTAAAACATTCCTAACATGCCTATGATCTTCTCCATATTTATTGGTCATGTCACTCCCTAAAAATGGTAAGTAGACCCCTCATTATTTACTGAGAAAGTGTAAGAGCACAGAACATAAAACTACTGTCGAGTTATGACGTGTCATTGTAATTACTTTCGATTCTTGGTTCTTGCTAACCAAACGTCTCTCTTCTCCATCTATAAATACATGTACTCTCATTCTTTCACATTATTGAATACATATCATCTATTTCCTCATCTCGTCTATTTCTCTGTGTCTCTCAAGAACTCTCGGTCTCCACCGAGACAGAGTTCTCTCATGGTATCAGAGCACCGCCTTAACTGTTAGATCTCCATGGCCGATCAAGGTTCAGCAACATCCCTACTAGTGCAATCCAATCTTTCTTCCTCATCTCTCACCGAACTCACTATTCCTGCTCCCTTGAAATTTCTTATTTCCAAACTCAAGAATCTCGTCCCAACAATTCTCACAAACGAGAATATTTACAAGATATGGCGTCTTCAACTTCTTTAACACTTATCCACCAATGGTTCAACGATCACCTCACCGGAATATCCATTTGCCCTCCGGCAACATCCAATGCATATCACAACACATGGAAATTAATCGATCGCAACCTCCTCTCCATGATCTTGTCCACAATCTCCCCTTCGGTGCTGTCATACGTTCTTTCGCTCACTTCGGCTCACAAGGTTCTGGACACACTCAAAAGAAGACTCCAACCGACCAGTCGATCTCGGGTGATCCAGCTCAAGAACGAGCTCCATCAAATTCAAATGAAAGATCAAACAATGCAGCAATATCTCACCCAAATCAAGATCCTCGTCGACAATATCGCCATCGCCAGCTCACAAATCGACACCGAGGACATAATCTCATACATCTTGAATGGCCTCTAAGCAATTACAACTCATTCAAGATAGCGATCAGAACATCCCTAACTCCCATAAACCTTGATGTCCTCTACTCCTTGCTCTGCAGCGAAGAGATCCACCTTCATCAAGAGTAGCTGAAAGAAACTCAACCTTCCCCCGACACGGTCGCATTGCTATTCGCCCGCACCAACTCTAATCGCGGACGCAACCATTGCTGGCACAGATGCAACCCCAAATATGCCCCCACCTCCTCGTGCGCATCCCGTGCACTTCTCGTATATCAACCCGCCACTCAAACATCCGATTGGGGTCTGGACTCGGGCGCTACTTCTCATCTCACATACGATGCTTCAAATCTTGAAAACTCAACTACTTACAACGGCTTCGACTCTGTTTCCATAGCCAATGGTACTAACATCCCCATTCAACACACCGACTAAGGAATCCTACCACTACCGGACTCATCTCGTAAGCTACACTTACGTAACCTTTTTCATATTCCATTTTTATCACATAATCTTGTTTCTATTTCAAAATTAACAACCTACAACAATGTCTCAGTTTCTTTTGACGCTCGCAGGTTTGTTATTAAGGATATGCAGGACAATCGGCTTCTTCTACATGGTCGCAATCTTGACGGCCTATACACCATTCGAAGCCAAAAACAAGCCAAATAAACCGCCCTTAGCACCACCACGGCATCCATCTCTCGCTGGCACGCACGTCTTGGTCATCCCCACACCCTCCTTCTGTGATGCCCCAAGATCAAACTTGGAAAGAACGTCAATCAATTTCCCAAACAATTTACCATAGTTATTTAAAACCTTCAATTAAGCAGTCTATCAAACATCTATGAAATTTAAAACATCAATATACAAGTCGATTCATATCTCAAAAGTCATGTACAATACTCAGGAACTACACTACAATCACCAGTCTGAAATCTATCCTGAGTACAAAAGAATCAAAATCAATCAAAAGACAAAAACCTGAAGATCTGGATCAATTCCTATCTTCTGCTCCCTTGCCCTGACCTGAAAATATCAACCACATAATGAGCTTTACAAAGCCCAGCAGGTCACCTAATACCTATCACTGAAATCAAAGCACGGCTATGCTATCAATATGCATGTCAATCAATCACAGTCAATCAAATCTACATCAGTCAATGGTCAATGAATCTATGCAATACGGAAATCTAGTAGTCAATAAAACCAGTCAATGCAGCAGCAGGCAAATCGATAAATCAAGCTCAATCAATCCATGTCAATCTCGAAGAAATCCATACACAAAAGAAAATCAGTCAATCCGTCAAATCAATTAAATCGTCGAATCAATCAATCCGTTAAATCCATTGCTATCAAATCAAATCAATGCAATCAATCAATAATATCTATTCAATGAAATCAATACGA